TTGTTTTATTAGTCTTAGCTATCAGGTCTTGTACTTGCTCGTCAACGAATACAGAACTTTGTTCCATTGAAGTGAAGTATTCGTCTAAGGTTTTCTGCTTCGTTTTCACTGAATCTACTTCTCTCTCAAAGACGTTACCTTGCTTTGTAGACCTTTGACTGCTGCGTTCAGTTCTTCCATTTTTTGTTTCCAGGTTAGAAAGCTTCGATAACACTAAATCTATTTTGGATCCGAGTGCTTCCATGACCTCGTCTTCGTCACACGATATCTTAGCCGGAGAATTAGACTCTTTCAGTCTTTTATCTTCTGGTGACGGCTCCGAATCACTGCGATAGCTACTTTTCCGTTTTGGAGTGATGAATAATTTTTCCATGGACGTTCAAACGGTAGTAAAATTGTCCGGTTTACGGAGCCTCGCAGCACACGTCTACATTCTGTGACGCTCTCCCCAGTCTCGTCGAAATGCCCTATTTACGTCATAATGTCTTGTATCACCGTTGTGCTCCCATCTGTCCTTATCTACCATTTGGCCGGTAGCTTAAGGATTATTCAGGTAACCTGGGAGAAATTGTCACTTCATACAGACGCTTAAAGACGAAAAGCGAAGACGCGTCGCAAAGAACGATTTTCCACTGGAGGAAATTTTACCGTTTTTGCCGAGACAGAGATTAAACGAGTATACAGATTTACTTCGACATTAGCCCAACGTTTGGCCAGGGGACGGCACCCGCTTGGGGACAAATAGCGAAGACGCGCGTAGAGCGATTTTCCTCTAAGAGAAATTTTACCGCTTTTGCCGAGACAGAAAAGAATCAATTTTCGTTAGGTTTCCGGGCGTAGTCGTTCACAATCGCTTAACTCTCGTCAGGTCTCGTCACTGAATCTGTAAATTTAGTTATTTGTCTTAGTCATTTTTACCCCGATCAGGACACAGCGACGAACTTCGTGGAACTGACTTCTATGCTTTCCAGAAAGAGTATACAGAGCGTAATAACGTATGCGCAAGTAACGAATTCGCTTTTGAGATCAAAATAAAACAATTTGCGGCTGGTTTTCGGCGAGTTTAAGAATAAAACTTTGTTGTGCAAAAGATATTTTTCCCCCCGCCCCCCCCCCCCTCCCTTCCTCAACCCCCGTCAAAGCACTGACTGTTTTGAAAGTTTTCTGCTGATCCTCACGTTGAGATGGAAACCTGAGTAAATTAGCCCGCGGCTTTTCAGTTTATTAAGTATTCCACGATTTCAATTTAGTGTGACAATTTTCAGGTGCATGTAGAGAGAGTTAGTGACATGCGCCACTCTTTGATGGTTCACGCTACGGAAAACACGTGTGACATCGGAAGTCATGGGTAACCTGGCCTTGAATACGTAGTTTTCAGGAGCGTACTATGGTTCGCTCATAATCAAATATAACCTTTCATAATTGTTGGTCCTCTGATACACATCTCATCGTCCTGCCTAGACCAAGCAACAATTTGTAAAGTACAGAACTCTACCACGCTCGTTTTGAACCTTGGCCTGCGAGCAAGGTCTTATTTACACAGCTGTTTGAGCGGCTAAACGCCAGACGTCTTGGTAGATTCCTAATACCAGATTCCTGGCATACTTTTCACGAATTTCGACGCTGTTACTACATCGTTAATGAGAGCTGGCTTCTCTTTGAGTGAGTAGCACCTTACTGCATGAAAAAAAGTTTATTATCCCTCTCCCATTCAACAATTTATCACAAGAGTTCGCTTTTTTGTGAAACAGGGGCACTCACTAGAGACAAGGTGCTCATCTCTTTTTTTTTTTGGTAGGGCGCTCATCTCAAGGGGACAAGGTGTTTATCTCTTTTTGAGAATCAGCAGAATGTGAAAACAAAGCTTTGATGTTCGTTGGATTGGGGATCAAAAAGACTGGAGAACTCACTTATTGTCCGTGGGCCTTCCTTGCTAGAACAACTAGCCGAGCAATTGTTGCAAAATTTTAAGGCAGGATCTTTCGTTTTAAGAAACTGAGCTCTCACAGCGACATAATAGTTTAGAGACTAGGACAAAGACCACTTTTTTTGTCTTGAGGCTTCACGTGAGCAATTAAAGGAAGATGGACTACGGTTGATCTTAGTGTACAAGCACTCTAGCAGTGCTATTACTGAAACAGAATAGGGGTGCTTATTGAAATGAGAGTGCTTACTCAATACGGGCGCTTACTAGAACAGGGGCGCTTACTGGCAAAACAGATTCGAGGGAGGCTCTTTTAGGGAGGGGGTGCTTATTGGAAGGAGGGCGCTAAATCGAATCATTATGGTACCTTACATTCCAATTAGGAAGAAGTACACCAACATTTCCCGGCTTTCTTTTTCCTTCGGTTACAAATGCGTGGCAAGAACTTCTCTGTCTAGCGCGTCACGCCGTTCAAGGAGTCATGCCGTCTTCCCTTAAAGGGCTTGTTTGCATGAAGGTGGGGTACTCCAGGTAGGTGAGGTAACCTGCCTAGCTGTGCTCGAAAAATAGCTTGCGTTTACGAACAATTTTACCGGGGTGAGGTTTTTGACGCGCTTGAAACATGAACGCGACCCCGGTTAGGCGGGTTACCCTCCTGAGACGTTTACATAGCACATTGCGACCCAAGCAGATAGGGTTACCCTACCCGACAGATCAAGCCACCAGCCAGGGCAGGCTACCACACCTATCATATAAACGTGATCAAGATAAGATAAGAGATTTTTATCAAGGATGGAGCTGCAAGAGGGAAAAACCAGCCTTATCATTCTAGCGTGGGGCGACAGATGTCATTTTAAATTATGTTTTAATTCTATGTAATCAGGCAAAAATTTCGGCCTTTGTACCACCCCCCAGATATTTGAGCAGAAGGAAATAGCATGATATCAGGGACAGAGGCAAACCTATTAGGGTAGGCTGGCGATTCTCATCCCCAGTTTCTAGCATCTCGGCTAAGAACGCCTGGGACCATGGTGCAGATTTGGCGACCAAAAGAGAGAAAGGACGGCTTGCGTTTTTCGACTCGAGAGTTCCTGTGGAGCTCGATCAAAAAATTGAGCATTTTTGAGTTATCTTTTTTCTTAAGTTAAGGTAAAGTAATGCGATATTTTGCTGCTTTTGAAAGTTATGCTCTTGTTCTTTAAAAGTGAAAAACATCAGTTACACAAATTGTCCAACCTCAACCCACCCATCCAACAAAAATATCTTTTGCATGCGAAGCATGCCTATGTTTTGGTATCGTCACGCAACGCGGTCTCTCTCCAACGGGGGAGAGAAGGCGTTGCGTGACAGGACAAAACAATGCTGAGAAGGAGACGAAAGTGTGCGTGAAAAAAATGCAGCTCAGGGACTATGAACAGATGTGTGCGTTTATTTCAGACAAATTAGAAGTTTTCCTCTCTTACTCTCCCTCTCTCTTCCCTTCTCTCTCTTGTGTGAAAACAGGTTTCTTGCCTTCAAAACATGTGTCTTGCTTCACAAAAAACAGTACGGGTGGGAAAGACTCAAACAAGTTCATGGGGGAACACTCGCTGACAGCGGAAGGTTGAGACTCCTTAGGACAAAAAGACTTTCACAATAAATTTGTCTCAAACACGCGCTTTAAATTGCGGTCCTGGTTCGTCAAGATACACCAAATCCTCATCAAATACTGACCTAGCCTTGACCAAGTGCTACACTCGTTGTGACCAGGCACAACGCTTGTTGAAACCAAAGAAACCTTTACGACACAGTTCTATCCAAGCCCAAACTACAAAGGATTAGGTAATGCCATGAATTATCTAAAGGATTAAGTCACGCTTTGAACCACCTATACATTACAATAAAAATGATTGGCTAGAAAGGAATTTTGCCTTTCACAAGATTAATCAATCTCAAAGCACCGCAAACAACTAAAGAAAAAAAGACTAGGACAGGTAACGGCTACAGTTAAACACTAACTACTGATAATGTCAAACAACAACTGTTCAAGGCTGGCTGAACAACAACTGACAGCATTTACGCTTTGCTGAGCTTCGCAAAAGTTCCGCAGTCTCAATGTTGTTTCTATAGCATTAAGCATAGTAACCTTAAAACTGAAAATTCTCTCGTTACACTTGGCTAAGAACGGTAAGCGCTTGAAGGCTCCCATATCCGGTGAAATCGGCCAGTGATAGCGTGCCTAGTACCTGAGAGTTATTTATTTATTTAACTTCATTTATACACAGATAAAACATCAGGACTTCAAGTAATTACTAAAATTGCATTAATTACATTGTTTAATTAAATCTAATAACAACAAAATAAAAACAATAGCGAAGTGCCTGCTTTCCATGAATGTTGTGTGATTAATTAACTTATTTATTATCAAAAAGGAAACCCTGCAGCCGGATTTAAAACTAGCACTAGTTTGTGCTTGCCTCAGATTAGTAGGTAAGATAATTTAAGTAAATGACTGGTAAGCGCTAAAATTAACCACCTACAAGGTACTAAGTGGAACACGTTGTGGCCCAATGATTAATGCGCTGGAGTCTGGGTTCGAGAGCTAACTGGGTCACTCGTTCGGTTCTTGATCAAAATACTTTACTATCACAGTGCCTCTCTCCACCCTGAAGAACCAGCACCCCAATCCAGGGGGGAGGGGTGATACTCCTACTCACGTCACGCTAAGGAAACCGGGATAAGCTCTGGCAGAGGTACAGACTTTGCTTTCCTTAACAAAGTGCCATTGATTATAACATCATTATAGCAAAATCTACAAATTAGAATAGCATCCTTAAAAAACCTTAGGCACACAAAATGTTGTGCATAGATAAAAATTTCAAAAGTTAAAAATTATGATCGACGAAGACAGCTGGAAGCCTTTGTTGTTCACACAGGATTAAAGGCGAGACACAAAGTTAAACGTATATCTTCCCATGAACACGCTACATCCTATAGCTATTCCTTTTATTTTTTTTTGTTTTTGCCAGTGAGCATTTAAGATCAGGTGGTAATTACTATTCCTTCTCGTCCGAATGCTGTATCTTCACGCCAACTTCAAGCCCAGTCTCTTCAAAAGGCCCTTTACCCGCGGCCATCGTCTCCTGTATGGGTGACGCCTCTTCTTTGTAACTTTCACTTGCTTCGGTGGAACGGTCGTTTTCGGCCTGAAGTGGCTCTCCTTTACCAAATTCTTGTTGGAATCTCTCGTCTTCGCCCGCTTTTCTTATGTCCTCGTCCTTCACTTTTTGCGCTTCTCTTGATACTTGCGTCTCTTGCACTGGCTTTTCCTTTTTAAATTCTTCAAAACCTTCCTCCTGAATAGGGAATTTGCCTCCCTCTTTACTCTGCTCTTCAGTCTCGACCTTCGATTTCTCTGTTTCTTGTAAGGGCGTCCCAGCGGACGACAGACTCTGAACATTTCTCTCACCAGATGCAGGTATTGGAAAATGATGAGTTATCATCTCTCCCGACGTAGACTTGTCTAGGAGAAGAAAATTGCCATGACTCTTGCCGTTTCTTAGTTTACAGCTATAAAACTGAAGTTCACACCTTCCTATTAATCGTACAGTATAGTAAGGTGACTTATTCTTATTGCTCTAAAATTGTGCAATCCGAGATAGCGGCAGTTATACTCAAATATCGCACGCGAACCTAGAAATAAGTTGGTATATAGCCACAGTACATTAATTTCCTTTATGGCACTCAGAGGGTTGTCAACACTGCCAGTTTCATAGGATACTTAGGAGACGTTTTTCTTCACCCGCAATAGTAATTAAGATGCCGCTCACTTCGACTGTTAGACTGTTGATTAACTTAAAATAATGAAAGGTAACTAGCCACGATCTTGAAGAAGGTCTCAAAAAGTAAAATAACAAAAATGAAAATAGAAAAAAATCACAAGAAACAATAACTTTCAGCTGTAGGGCAAGAATTTCCTCCTACAGCAAAATATTGCGGTAAAAAGGATAGGTAAATACAAAAACACCTTCAAAAACCTCACCAGTTGTAAACTGCAACGTCCCTTTTTCTCCAATAACTGCATTGATGGTCTGCGCATTCAACGTTATGTTTTGCTAAAGAACACAAAAAGACAAAAGAAGAAGCCTTTAGAAGGCAGTAATGCCACCAGTTTTCATTTGTACTCGGCGCATTTTTTTCTGTTAACAGTCCAGACTCATATTAAAGTTCACACGTATGCATCATAAGAATCACCAGGGTACACTACGTTCCAAATCTGGATACGAAGATATGGATTTTCAAACAAAGAACAAGAACAGTTTTAATCTTTGCTCCATGCTCATGACGATGATTTTTGTAAATAACTGTGCACAAGATAATAAATATCTTGTACTTACTAACTCCAGGTCTTTTTCCACCTTCTAAGGAAGAACTGCTAACGGCTTCACCCTCAGAACGGCTACCAGAAGCCTAAATGTATTCGTTAAAACGAAAGAAATTTGAACGCTTGTTTTCTGTATCAATCATATCCCTGGATTTCTTGAGTTTGATTTGAAGGTTTTACTACATACTGAAATCACCCAAACATCTAGGGCAGGCATGAAAGTCAAACAAACCAAGAAGGTTACGAATTTAAGGTGAGGTTCAGAATTTGGATTGATTGCAATCGAAGGGATTTGCATCCAGTTGCCTCAGAATATCCAACTGTGTATGAAGCATTGAAACTTGAGAACCAATTCCTCGAATAAGCGCCGCGCCATGGCCGCAGCGACTATTTAGTCCCAAATTTCGTGCTTACTGGAGTGAGGCACTTACTCGGGGGGCAGAGGTTACTCACTAAACGTAGGAAACACTGTATCTCGTGTTACGTTCATAGCTCAAATTCGGAAGTAATTTAACGACAGCATAACAGGTACCTGCATTACAGTTAACACTTCGCGTGTTACTTACAGTTACAAATGGAATTTCTTTAACGAGACAATCCTTCTCTTTCATGAACTTTACGATAGCCTGGCAAAGAAAGGAATACCTCATTATTTCTCCTTCTTGTTAAGTTTAACCATTCTCTTGTTCTGAAGTTGTGTTTACTTACCAAACAAAAGCAAAACAAACACTTATATCAAGCTTTCCTCTGGAAAGAATATAATCCATTTCAAACCAACTTAAGATCAAGAAACTCCATCACATTTGTCATAAGATAACAAATACAGTTGATTCCAAGTTTCTTTAAGCATCTTGGTGGAACGCTCGTCTATCACGAACTACCCTCAATAAAACCGCCACGTAAAGAAAAAACAAAACAAAAAAAAACAAAGTGCATTACATCATGCTGCCTTAACAATTACATTCTTAGGTGGAGTATGAACAGTAATAAAGAGATTTCCTGCCCTAGAACTTGGTAATGGGACTAAAAACCTGATTGGTTTATCAGAAGTCCACAACAGTGACCGTAAGTCACAGACCACCCAACTATCTGTTGCGAGATTAAGAATAACTCAACACACCCTCCAGACTGGTGACCTATACTCCAATTGAGCTTGATTACCAAAGAGATACAAGCCACAACGTGCTCGTGAAATTGCCACACAAATACGATTCTTTTGTGACAAAAAACCAATCTTGTTCTCATTGTTACTGCGGACCAGAGAAACGAGAATGATGTCATTTTCCTGCCCCTGTAGAAGAAAATGATTAGGTATGATAAGAACCTCATTCTCAAACGTCGTAGATAGTTCTTTTTTAAAATTTTCCGTTCCTTTCACTTCAAAGCACCGCATTTGGTACAGAATCTCTCCGGGATCGCGAGGGTGACGGATTCGAATCACATTATATCCTTTAATTGTTTGCCGAATTGCTTACACTAGTTAACTCGTTACACTTTCTTCAATGATGCCATAAGATTTTAGTCATATCAATTTATTACCACGGAGTTTAAAGTTTAGATGTCTCGGGACCACACTAAGGAAAGGATTTTCAACTGAAAATGATAAATGTTTTTAAAGAAGTTAACCATTGTTCTATTTCACATTGATAAAAGACATGAGAGGAACTTTCCATACCTGAAAAGCGTCTATCGTCGTCACCTCAATCTCACCCATTTTCTCAACATTTGTGGATTGGAAGAAATCTTTTATTTCAGTGACCTGCAAAAGGAGTATATCACCTTAACAATTAGAACAAGATAAAAAAAATGGCCAGTGGTATCCTGTAGTTATCAGTCCAGTTTGGATATACATAGAGAGAGCAACTGGTACCCTAAGTAACCTCCTGAAGACAATGTATTATTTGTTCTCCTTGACAGTATTCAAGAGTTTTGACGGACCCCACCCCTCTTAGTTTGTGACACTTGCGAATACTACCAAATAAGGTAAAAAACACGTGTGAGCAAAATCAGACAACCGGACACGACAAAAATTGAGAGTTTTCAGGGAGAGAGTTTTCTAGAATTTATTCTAATTCAGAAGTCTTCTTAGTGACTTATTGTACGGAGAATAAACATGAAAACGAAAAAGAATCTGTGAGTTCTGTGTACCGTTGCGATGAACGGCTCATCAGCAACAATAGGGGAAAGCGATGCTTCAAAGGTGGGAATCAGAATCGCCCCCACCAGCCTTGCACCATGTGTGCTAGCTTGTCGCCATTTGCTTGTAGTCAGTGTCTAAAGGGTGATATGGTAGATGGTGCAGTCTTCGTCTTCCCCCCAAAAAGGCAAACACTGACAAATACATTGCAATTCGATCAGGTATCTGAGGGTCAAACGGTAGCACTTCCAACTGTGTACAATGCTTGGTCTTCGATGTATCATAGCTATCATCCTACATGAGGTGATGAAAAGAAGGTATTAAACAAACTTTGCTGAACATTACATATGCTCGTAGTGTTAGCCATTTCGAAAACCAGCTAAGTAGGCCCCCATTTTCTTTATTTAACAATTCCAAAATCATTAAACAAAAGAAACTTTTCGCACATTTTTAAACAACTGGGATTTAGAGCCTCCTTAAATTTACATAAAAGTTTTATCTTAATGAAAAGAACACCATTCAAAAATAGTAATGGGGGTTTCCAAGTTCATTTTAGGTTGCTAACTTTCATAGATAAAAATAAGAATGTATTTAACAGGTTATAATGTTGTTATGATGGCTCAACTTGAGTTAAGTAACAAGGACAGTCATAATATGATTTACAAAGATTGGACATTTAAAAGGAGTATTTCACCATCACCAGACTCAGAGCAGCAATAATGGTGAATTAAAAAACAGAGCTGTAAACTGCTGTGACCCACCTGAACTTTTGCAAAGGATGTTAATTTTATCACTATGCATGTTCTCAGGATGAAATCATACTTCGGTTGTAGAGATTAAAAGCATCCAAAGTTCACTTACCTGTCCTCGATATGCGCAAAGTACTGTAATTCTAGATGGACGAACTCCCTGTTGACAAAACGTTTTTGCAGCTTCCGTGATCATTCTGGCCTCATGGACGTTTCGTTTGCTGTGGGAATCTTTTGATGGTTTCTCCTCACTTGTGTGGCGGCAGAAGTACATGCTCTTCTCCACACAATGTGGAAGATGATTGTTGCGAATTAGCTAGAGAGGTAGAACAAATAACTATACATTTCAAGCTCTGTAACTCCGTGCAAAACCAATTTCAACTCCTTGTAGCTAAAGGAGTGATTTAAATCTAGCATGGAGGGAATGGGTTTGGCAGTAAGGTTAGTAAACAGAGGGAATCGTTAACGTAAGTAACACAAAGAATTTATGTTTTTAACCCCCCTTTTAGAGCGCCGATTCTCTCCTAGCCTCAGCAGGGCAAGCACTGGCAAATAGGTGTCCTCCACCCGCGAAAAGTAATAACCTTCCCTTAGATAAACTTTGTGCGAAAGCCATTGTCCACTTAGGTCCATACTTTCCAGCATTTACCTCCGTCTTTGTTTTAAGCTCCTTATAGATTTTAGCGTTCGGAGCAAATCAACAATGTCGTCTCTCATTCGGCATTGATACTCAAGCTGCTTGAAAGGAATCTTGCAGTTCACAAGTCTCTCGAACATGGAGACATCAAGGTTATTTGTCTTTCGGAGTCTGGGGTTTTGTACCACAGGTTTCAGCTGCTGATGATCACCAATCATGATAAGGTGTTGAACGGATGGCGGGATAGCTGCCACAAGTTGTCCTTCTAAGATTTCGGCAGCTTCTTCTACTATCATAACTGATGGCTTTATTTCCTCTGAAAGTATATTAAACAACAGCAAATGAACTGTGAGTGGAAAGGCATTACGATCATTCAGAACCATACGTAGCGAATGGAAACTCCATTTTAACCATAATTTTAATCCCGATAATAAAAAAGTCAGTGCAAAATGAGCCCAACTTCACACTATGTCGGTGCTCTCGGTTTCACATCTCAAAAAATTCTCACGAATCAGTCGAAGTGATAGCATGATATGTGACTGAAATGACATTCGCGAAGTTACCGAATTCCCCGCCAGTTTTTAAAAAAAAAAAATCATTGTTTGGACAGTGGGTAATTTAAAAAGAGCTAGTTGACAAACTTAAACAATTTTAGTATGTTTCCAAGGACTACATCGTGATGACATGTCTGATATTGCATGTCTGAGAACATCTGGTGCATCCTACAACCCTTCAATATCCACGTCGTCCACAAACCCATCACTTTACTACGTCAGTTACTGACAAACGTCAAGGACAAGGACGAACCGAGGACCAGACAGGGAGCGGTTTATAAAATCAATCGCTCCGACTGCCACGCCTCCTACATCGGCGAGACTGACAAAAACTCACAACAAGACTGACTAAACACAAGCTAGCGACGAGGAAAGGTGATTTCAACAATCACATTGCTGAACATCATCGACTTACGAAACACACTATTGACTGGGACTCTGCGCAATGCCTAATTGACAGCACCAACTACTTCCAACGACTGACTCTGGAAAGCTGGTTTGCAAACATAGAACAAATTTCCCTCAAAAGGTGTCAACCTCTACCGGCACCATACAAACGACTCATGCATGATATTAACATTACAGACGAACCGAACAGAACGACCTGACTTTACTGAAAGATCGAAACCGACCGATCGCAACCGACCTACGCCACTTGAGTCTTACGGCGGATAACATCACGGCAAAACTGAATTAATCAGTTTATACGAACCGGACTTAGATCAATTGACTGACAACAACTAATGATTCTCTTGATTCTAATGATGACTTCTACTCAGGTTGTCGAAACGTCAGTCACCACTACCGACAAAAGTCCATCTTAAGATTACACTAACCCGGACGATCACACTACACTATCACAAAGTCTATGCTATATGTGAAGTATCCTAAAATTGGAAAACTAAACATACAGTCTGAAGTTGATTAGGAGATGAAATGAACTTGCACCAACACTACCACCAACATATTCACATCAATAACAACAACAAAATACAACGTGTTGTTAGTTTACCCAGCAGATTGGCTCTCATGGCTGCACCAGTCACCGTCATACCAATAATTTCACATTGCCTCATCACATCGATCTCATGTTTATTTCTCAACGCTGTATACTGGTGATGTTTCTGTGAATAAGTTCAACAGTAAAATTTAGAGAAAAGGAAAGGCGCACAGCCAAGTCAATTGTCCTTAAAAGACACTCCCTACCTCACCAAGTATAAGTGCATAAATGAAATCATAAAAAACCTAGCAACATGAGCGGTAAGAAAATTTCAAAATAATGAGTTCGCTCTTCACTAAAGGGGACCCTGAAACGAAAATAAATATTCGAGACAAATGGGTCATTGTGCAAAATACATATTCGGTGTTCAGGGTACAAAGAAGAACTTGTTGTTATGAGAACGAATTCGCTGATAGCCGGACCAATTTCACGTGAAAAGATGGGGTTACACACCGTTTTTTCATCAATTTGGCTCTTTTTACAACATAATGTACTACTTACAACGCATTTTGTTTATATACTGATAGATGACCAACTAAATAGAAGAGGATATTTCAAATCTGCGCATTTTTCTTCGTTTAAGGGAGACTATCATGATCACTGTGAAAAGATGTTTTTGAAACTACATCTTTTGTGGCTAAGGGAAGAACAAAACATTAAGTAAAAGATATTCAATAACGTTTTTTCTAGTTGACGTTATTACTGTCACAATCGAAGCTTGTGTTTTACCTCCTGGGCCTCCCTGCTCACATCAAGAAACTCCATACGGGCCTTCTCAGCATACAAGCTTTGAAGAGCATACACTAGCTGAATCCTTGCATGCTGATTGAGAACCCAGATATTTGTTTCATCTGAGCACCTTATGAAGTGGTCAACTTCTGGCAAAAGATCACATTTACGATAATAACAATGGTTTTAAACATAACATTCTAGTATGGAAAAAATGCCATTTTACATACACGCCATGTACAAAATCCGTATCACGGTAGAAAATGGGATGTTCTGATCTGGTTTATGACCATTATAGTGGTTTCTCAATTACCAACTATTTAATTCTCAGCCTGGGATATTGTATTTCAAACGTTCTCATTGGTTAAATCAATCTTGCTCACCAAATCATATACTAAAAGTCTCTCCATGTATGGAAATGATTGCACCAGATGTTAGACAAAGGTTAATCTTTTGAGGATGCTATAAAGGTTAGGTTACATCTATAAGACGCCAGTAAATATCTAATAGGAAATTTCCGAGTTCCAGAGAACCCTCACGTTCAAAACGAAGCTAAATGCCCAACTTTCTAAAGAAAACGAGTTTTGCTGGCATGATAGTGAAAGATTATTTTCATGTCGAAGGCTTCGCACTTAGCTTCGTCATCAAAAAGAGACACTGATGAGAAAACAGAAGCTGTATATACTTCATACTTTTTTTTTGCAAATTGCAATTTTTTTAAACTGGTATTTGTATTTATCAAATTTAAAAAGTAGAACTTAAAACCAAAAAAACTCACTTCTCTCATCCATGGGAATAAGTTTTCGTTCTCCAAATGTGTCATGTGTGCTGGTGTCAGAAATATCTTGCGTATCGTCAGGAAACTCGTACTCTAAGGCTGAGGAAATCCGCTCATCTTCCTCTACAGAAGGCTCTCGGAAGTCATCGGGGTTTTCCTGTTCTTGATCCAGTTTTCGCTTTTTAGTTCTGCATGTAGCAGAGTGGAGATCAATATTTTCACTAAACAAATAAGATCTCAGATCTAGCCTAGGACTTATTTCAACAACCAGGTTTTGCACCTATTAACTTGTCACTGACAAAACAAGCAACAGTTACCAACAGCTAGTATAATGCCACAGAAATCACAATGGCCATATGTTTTGCCGTAAGGAGACGAGTTGAAGATCTTTGGGCAAAATAGTGAACGTAGGGCGAACATGCTATATTTGATGGGGTGAACTGGCAGGGGGCGAACTTGCAGTGGGGAGAAACGTCAATAAACCACTCTTTCTACTACGAATTAAGTGTACAATCACTCAAAATAAAGTATGTAAGGCGTCTTAGGTTAAAATTTCAAAACGTTTATATGGTCAGATTTGATCCACGATCCAGCATAGCCTACTTTACGATTAACTGTGGACATTTAAGAGGCGAATGTGGTAAATGAGGTGGTATATTAACATTGTAAGACGCCTTATACAATAGAAGATTTGATACAGAGATCTGGAGTAAAGTATGAGCACATTGTTTTTCATGCGCCAGATGAAAATGTTCCGTTGGTAAACAGTTCAACTTGTAAGATTTTTGTTTCACGGCGAAATAGAAACACGTGACGTGATGTTTCTTCACTCACTAAACATTCAAATTTTAAAATGAACTTTCTTCCCAAGCTTATTCCCCAACAATTTCGAAGACTTGTCGAGTGCGTGCCGAAAAGATCGTCAGGCAAGCAAACGTTTGTATAATGCGTTCACGGTACGACACTGCTGAAAACATAGAGGCCGCGAAGATGATTAGACTGATTATAATGCCTGTATTTTATTGTACGGAATTCCTTGAATTAAGACGAAATTGACTTCTCGAGCGCGAGCTTAGACAATAGGCTATTTTACAGTTGTGTGCTTAGTTGCCAAGCCTCTGATTTGAAGTGAGGCTGAAGGTGACCTTGTTGTAAAAGGCTTGGCAACCAAGCACGCAACTGTAAAATGGACTATTGATAAAAAGCCAGGTGAATCATATGTCGGCGTCTTGCCTCAAAATCCTGATGACCATTTCGGACTCTCAAGTCACTCTGAAAATCTATCGCAAGCCCCAACCGTTTACGAGGTGCGAGAATTCGCGAGAATCTCGCTGATGTAAATTCTTTTCTCAGTTAATTAGAATGACACCCGGTTTCTTCCGGTAAATGCCTTCGGAGAGAAATGCGCCACGCTGCGCTTGTGCAGTTACGACCTTACTCCGTGTTTGCAGTACCAAAGAACAAAGCTGCAATCATTGCAAAACGTAGATAAGTTTTGTTTCGTTTCAGGTAGGCCAACGGGCGTTCATCGATTTTCACTCAACTTGTATCGCCACAAATTTGCCCTGTTTACCTTTTTTCTGTCTAATATAATAAAAATGAAAGCATCAAAAGTACCTTGTGCGCTCTGACTTTGATTCAGTAACTGAATGTGACGGCTTGCTACTCGTTCCTGAAATCCGTTCTCCCTGGCAAACCGATCAAATTCTACTTGTCCAGGAAGCCACTTGCCTAGTGCGTTTCTTACACACCCTGTAACGTCCAACACAAAGAGAGATTTTCTTCAAAGCAAGGGAGTTAGTCAGATAAGCAAGGTAATAATGTCACCAAAGAAACATGTTGGAACAAAACATTAAATACTCGTCTCGACTCATTTTGAACTATTTTAGTGCTAACCAAGTAAAAAATTCAAATTTAAAGAACAACACTTCAACTGCGTTTTGCACTATAAACTTAAATCATTATTGAAACTATTTCAGTCCTTTGGCAGACGTCGATCTTTCATAAATCGCTGAAAATTTTCCCTACGAAAATTTCAAGTTTTTCTCATATTAAAATATTTTTTGAGGAAAAAACATACAACATCTCGGAATCTAAGTCGGGAAAAGTAAGAAAGGTTTAACAAATGAAATATTCCTGCACCTTTCAAGTGAGATTTATATGACCCATCCATGCTTCTCTCTTTGAGTAGCTTATCCACCTTCGCTTGGTCATTTGATTCTATCAGGAGCTCCCTGACCTGTTTTTCAGTTGCTGTCTTTAAGAAAAATTTTTAGGGTGAACATAAGTACGTTTTTTGCAGCTATTCCATAGGGCCACACAGCACAGTCTAAGCTTGAGGGTAGGATAACGCTATCCAACGGGTAAACTAATTTCTAAAGTGCATAAGTGTTCGAAAACAAACTATACTATCCGCCAAATAATTATCTAATCACATAGTAACATTACCCACCCTTCACATAATCAGAACTTAAAGTTGGGGAGAATTGTACGTCACTGGTATGAAATCAAAGCCCCATTGCCTTCCTGATGGAGTAATAAGGTGACGGGCAAATGTACCATCAACCAACCGTCTTCCATCGAGTTTCACATGAACATGCATAAGGTTTATAATAACCCTTTGTCACTTGGAATAATTGAATCACAAATTAACACCTTGAGGGGTACTTTAAAACATAGATCCACACCTGGATGAACATATCAGCATTAAAAACACAGGAACCCTGAAGTTTCGAGTATGCCTCTTTCACGAGATGTTGCATATTTCGCAGTTGACTTCTGAGTTTTTCTTTTTGCGTTTTGAGAACTTCAGACCACACAAACTTTGACTTTACCTATATGAATAGAGATCACACAAGCGTTATTTAGAAGGAAAATTGTCAAATCAAATATCATTAAAAGTTCATTACACACCTATGCAAAAATGCGAAGGCTTATTACTGGATGACCGCTCCTTTGCCCGCGAGTAGGTTTCAGACCCTGAGCAAAGAGAGCCGGCGAGAGGTCTATAAGGGATCTGGTACAAATAACGAGAAGTAGTGCCAAAGCTTTTGCGGACCTCTCGCCGGCTCGCGAGAGGTCTCGCTTGAGGACCCATACCTCTACATGGGCGAAAAAACGCTCGTGCCGCAACGCTTTTAAAGAGGGACTGCTTGCTAGCTGGTGGCAATGAGCTTGCATTAAATTTCAACTTCACGTAAACTGCTTACTAGAAAAATATCGTGAAAATTCTAAAGTAAGGCAAGTAAAATAGACAAAATCCAGTAATTGAAAGAAAAGGCTATGTTAAGCATAACGTTTCAAAAGTTCATTTTTAATCTATAGTGTCATCTGATCGGTGATGGTTCCAACAAATGCCAACAAAATTTTATCAGCAGTAACGTGCAGCAGCACCACTACGGACCCTTGACCGAGTTGTTGAAAGGACATTCAGCACTAATCTTGATTTAAACATCATGAAAATGAATTATTTTTATGTATATGTAACCCAGGATTAGTGTCAATCAGGTTTCAAACAGCCAAGCCCAGGTAGATCCAACAAATCTTACGTTAAACAAGAGACAGTCCTCCAACTTTTCTGATCTTGATGACTTTCCAACACGGACAATTCTGGGCTTAGACGATAAATCTAGACACCCTTCCAAGAAATGGTCTACAGCGTCATTCTTGTAAGTGACAACCTTTGAATAGTCAAGTAAGAATAACAGGGTAAGAAAGGAAAAAAAACATCAGTACGCTTATAACCTTTACAAATCAATCAAGTGGCAAACATGAGAAATTTGGAACAGGTGGTCTTTCCAACTCGAACCCTCACTGATCGTTTTTTGCGGCGGCGTCAGCACAGGCTAACAAACCTTTTTGAACATTTCATGCGATGTGCATGTCACACTATTTTTAGCTCTTACCTCAAGTTGTGAGCATTTTCATAACAATTAATGTTATCTGCAACATTAAAGCCTCTACACAACTGAAAACAATTTCCGGAAATAAATGTTTCTGAGTCACGCCTTTTGAATTTTTTTGCTAAAGATTTGGCATTATGTGATATGTCCACCATTTCCTTTACGTGCCCCTGTTATTGTTTTTTGTTGACAAATACCAAATGGTCGTAGTACATATCAATCATCTTTCGTTTGGTAACAAACTACAAACTCATGCAAAACGCCTTGTTTTCACATTTAGTGCATTGTATATGGCTCATCAGATCAAATATTGTCAACCATAAGGGCGGACTCGACAGAGAGAGGGGCATATGATAAATTTAGTCCATTCATAAGTGGGGAACGGTTAAAAATCAAGAGGGGGCTGAACAAAGAGATTATGGAGTAATGCATTCTCAATATACATTAAATACTTACAAAAATGGGTCCAAATGTCTTCGGTACATCCATTGACAATAACAAATGAACAAGAGACACACCAACAAAAGATTTCCCAGTTCCTGGAGGTCCCTGCATGAAAGATAAAAATTTTAGGATTCATATTGACTCTGAACAGCCCCGTGAGGACAAGCCAATAAACTATATATGTATGTATCACATGTAGGCCATTTTAATTAAAAAATTACAAAATTAGTGCTGGTAGGAAATCACTATGAGCTTTCAATCAAACTACTCAAAGCATTATGCACAATGCAATCAAATGTTGGAAATTTGATCGTGGTTGTCAGTAGTAATACCATTAAACGTCTGATCACGGGGCTGAGGGCATAACTGACCTATGTTGAGTTTTCGAATGTTTTCCACACTTCTCAGATTTTCTGAGAAATATAAGCATGGGATCTGCAAAACGTAGGCTGACAGCTTTTCTTTCTTGGTCGTTATTGAAACATTTTCTCTCATAAGTAATCCGTAATCCTCCAAAACCCTTAAGATTTTATAGACAACCCAAAAATATCAACAGGTACTACGCAATCATACCTGAATTAAGGCCACTTTGTTCTTAAGTGCAAGGTCAATTGCATCGAGTTGTGTGTCATCTAGTTTTGCCTTGATATTTGATAATTTCATTCTTTCAAAGTCTTCCACAAGAGAGTACACTGAAGACTCATCTTGGTCATGTGACTTTGGTGGAGACTCAAATATGATTCCCCAGTCAGGAGGAGCTTCTATTTTACGAACGTACTCAGCTTGACACATGTGATTGGCCTCTGGATGTACTAAGAAATCCTTGAACGGAACAGAATCTAGAAAATATCAGTCAAAAATTAATCATACACGTAGCTGTTGACAAAAAGCAAATACATCACTGTCTTGCATCTTTTAAGAATCTAACAACTTTTTTTTAAAGAATTCCTACAAAATTCGCACTTAAAAAGAGTCACCAGCATGTAGGAAATGGACAACTTGAAAATTACTGCTTACTTACTGTTTTTTCAAACTAAAAGTTTTTTTGTAAACATATATGTATGTATGTATGTATGTATGTATGTATGTATGTATGTATGTATGTATCTCAGAACGGGGCAATTATTGGCAAAAAACAGTTCAGATTATTTTCAGGTCAACGTTCTGCAGTCGATAAAGAACATTAACTAATATAATAATGGTTATGAGAAATTTTCCAGTTAACACTTTACGTAGGATGCATGAACACTAATATCCTCAATCACATAGGACATTATTGGATGACTAAAGGATATCATAAGACTGAGCTAATAGACCAGTGGTGATTGATAGTTGTGATAAGACGAATCTACGATGATCAACCTATGTGTTGAGACTGAGCTAATTTGCCAGTGGTGATTGATAACTGTGATAAGACGGATCTACGATGATCAACCTGTGTGTTGAGACTGAGCTAATTTGCCAGTGGTGATTGATAACTGTGATAAGACGGATCTACGATGATCAACCTTTGTGTTGCAAAATATCCATAGCCGGACCAAAAGACAGGTAAAATGTCTGGCTTTCAGCCATGTGAGCTTCTTTCCCTATTAAAGGTATCCAAAAAAGAAAAACGAAAGTGTTACAATCGTGTTATACACGTCCAGGTATTTCATCAGCACCGCATTATAACGCAGTCATACCACTCAAGGTCGATATAACTTATGTAATAACAGTCTGTGACTGAATGGTGAGTGAATTTTGACTGCAGAAAGGTTGAAAAAACTCTGCCGTCATGTGCTGTATCCAGAATTATCAGATTTCAACTAAAATAAACAATGTCAACCGAAAATTAGGTGATTCTGTCACTATACTGCCAGGCTAATCCTGAACTGGGCACTACATTACTCATAACTGCAGGCATGCAAAAATTAGCCCACATGCTTATGAGAAAAAAGATTTGCTATTTTCCTTCAATGGGTAGTTCTGTCGAACGTGAAACAGGGCATATTTAACCTCTCCTGATGCTACCTTGCAACAAATTTTTATTTAAAATGTCATTAGTGGGATGTATTATTGATCTCTTAGTTTTCAAGTAAAATTAATCCTTACATTAGTACAGATCTGAATATAACAAAATGGCTATCAGTCAAAAGGTTGCTATTAATTACCTATTTCAAGCTAAACCCCTCCCTCCCTCCCCCCTACAATTTATTGTTAGCATCTCCCGTGCAACTGACTAGTTCAGTCAATTGAGTAACAACATTGAATTTTTCAAAGATCAGTTGTTTACAGCTTTAAGTCAGTTGACAAGACTACATTCTTGAGTAGCTCATTTAACTTTCAAATAATTAAGTGCTGTCAGTTAACAACAAAAATGAGCTTCTTTAAAAACCTCAATCAAAAGCATCAATTCCCTCTTATCTTTAATTTACCTACCATCATCTGTTATCCCTTGTAGTTTGATTACAAATTCTGCCTCTGATATGTTGTTTGTTTTATCACCACAAAGTGCCACCCATATCACTCTATGGTTGAAGCATATTTAGAGAGCTAGGGTTAATCAGTAGCCACAAGAGAAAAATGCAGGGATTGTTTTCTTCTTTACTACCGGCAAAGCTTTAAGAAAATTTACATTTTAGTAACTCCAATTTTCCAACAAAAGCCTCTTTTCCAGTCAAACAGCCCTCCATTGGCCATGACCCTATGAAGTAGAATCCTGAATTCATTCATATTTACTGAGAAAAATGTTTCAATTAGATTAATCTCACCAAAGCAATTTCGACCTAGCAGCTTCCTAACATGCCATTTATATTTAAGTGGAGTGACTACTTTTAGTTACTACCTCTATGAATTACACGCAAGAGTCACAAATCACTGAAATGACACAACAGGTGAGTAAAGGAATTTCATTCTTGGGCTGTCTGTGCTGGAAGTAGATTAAAAAAAGTAACCAACCTTTGTTCATGGTCTACCTTTTCCACTACAGCCCAAACAGGCTGTTCAAATGAGCCATCACAAGAAATGCACAGTAGATTTCCATACACAAGCCAACTTGCAGATCTGTCCAGATAACATACCGATAAACATACACATTTTCTACATACATTCAAATTAAAATATTTCAGCCAGCCATGTTGTAGTGATAAAGTTTGAATCAATGTGTTTGACAACAATCAAAGATTACCTAACCTAATATTTGTTTATTAACTATAATCATTAGTTGACTTTCTTGTCTGGTCTAGTATCGTAAGCATTATATCATCATCTCCTATAGGACTGACATCAGTCACTCATTTGCCAAACCTTAACTTTAAGACAAAAATGCAAGAGTTTTTACTTAAATAATCACTGAATTGGCCAAGCCACACACACTCGCAGCATTTTTCTTTACTTGATTCATTATTGTAAGGTGAGGTGGCTCTCCCATAAGCCCGGTGGCTTCCTCGGTCTCCTTGCCTTCTAGCTGTTGATGACATTATACATCCAAAGACCTCAAACTTAACAAAGCGCTCACCCCCAGTCAATCCTTTCCTCTGAGTTAACAGTAAATTGCAATCCAATCGACATGGTGGTTGGAGAGTTTTCTCGTTTATGAGTGCATAGTCCTTTCAGAGTAATCCTAGATGTAATTGCAATCACTATCAACACTTTACTAGCAATATATAACATCTGCAATATCTAAGAGACTTAATGTTACATCAAATCTACAACATAATTGTGTTGGAGATGGAAGATGAAGATATGAGGAGGAGGATGAGGGTGAGGCAGAGCATATGAGGAAGAGGAGGGTGTGGGTGAGGGCAAGGATGAGGATGAAGATGAGGATCAGGAAGAGGAGGAAGATAAGGATGAGGAGTAAGATGAGGTAGAGGAGGAGGAGGATGAGGGGGGATGCCAGGCTAAGGATGAGGATGAGAATGAAGAGGAAGAGGAGTATGATGAGGAGGAGGATAAGGAAAAGAATGAGGATGAGGCATAGCATATGAGGTGGAGGGTGAGGATGAGGATGAGGTGGAAGAAAAGGAGGATGAGGAGGAGGAGAAGGATGATGAGGAGGAGAAGGATGAGGATGAGGATAATGAGGAGAAGGAGGATGAGGATGAGGATGAAGAGGAGGATGAGGATGAAGTAGAAGCAGTGGAACTGATGGTCAATTCAAACTTCTAATCTTTGGGCAAAAACACAGTCCACTGATTTCTAAATCTTCATGTTAAATCACAAGTAATGAAGTAGCTACCCATAGGATTATGTAGAATGAGGCCAAACTATTCTTCATGTACCTAACACATGCTAGCCATAAATTGAAAGTAAATCAAAAACTTGTTCCCACCTATACATCATCGCTTTTTTTGAATCACACTTTCCTTTGCTTAAAAAGTGTGAAACTCCATTCTTCAACTTGTGAAAACACTCCTCTCTTAGAAGTCTGAAGTAAGTGTTCAAGTATTCTTTTTCTGAGTGGTACTTGCCTTCTTTCTTGATCACTGGTAAGTCAGTTGTTCTAGTTTCTTCAATCAATAGATGAATCATGAAAACTTAAGCTCATTTTATAATTGATAATTAAATGCACCTACCATCATAAGTCTAATGGCAATATACTAAAGGATATTAACACAATTTTCATTGTTGGTTAACAAATCTGGATTTCTTGTTTGTATAACTTGTCCATCAGTAATAAAATGAGAAAAAAAAAAATTACCTAGCTAGTAAACCACAGAAAGTAGCATCTGTTTGACTCACATTTGCTTGCACTACACAATTACTTAAGTTTGAGTAGCGGCTGCTCAAAGCCTAGCAAAACAGTTAGCAGGTTTAGTTTAACCAAAATATATGTTTATTTAAATCATTAATTGATAATTGCACTGACTTGTTGAATCTTTATGGATTTCTTCACTCAGTAGCAGCAAGGGAAGATCTCTCCATGAAAAAGCCTCAAGATCTGCATGGACCCCTGGCACTGCAATGGCAACCATCAGTGACAACTTTTCCAGGAAGTCTACAGCAGATTTCCCACAAGAGCTGTTCACTAAGCTTTCAGCAAGAACTTTTGCCATGGGTAGAACTCTTCGACCAGAGGAAGGTGAAACATTTAGGACATGTTCTAGAACATTCTGCACCACTTTGAAGGATCCACTGATGATTCAAATAGCAAAATCACTATGTTTTTCTGTTTTGACAATTTGAAAACTTAACAGATGACAAGAACAAAATAACACCTCCCTTACACTTTCAGCTGGTTGGTAATAAATTAATTGTCATCGTATGCTGCCTAAAATATGTTTGGCTCAATTGAGTACACATACAGGGATACCTTGGCTAGGATCCTAATAAACAAGATTGATTGATCAAGGAAGCACTGGTTTTTGAGCTTATATGCAATCATCCAAGACTTCTCACAAACCATTTTCTGCAAAGGCATCCCTTACTTTGCCTTTTGCTGTCTGGCAATTCATTTTAAAATGTTTAGGTCAGAATTGAAAGCAAAGTGTTGAATGAAACAGATCACAGAGTAGAGATTTGGTATTAAAACCCAAACATTAAGGGTAAAAAAACATGGGCAAGTAATGCCAGGGTATGAAATTCAGACTAATATATAATCATGCACACCACAATCTACTAGCATTTGTATTTAATTGAAGAGGAAAACCATGAATTAAGCTTCAGTTTGTTCTTTGTATTTTATACCCTAGCTAGCCTGTGTCATAATTCATACACATTGATTTTGTAATCTACTAGTAGGTGAAAAAATTTTTTTAAATCTTTGCATGTTCACTTTTTTCAATGCCACCAATATTACCTGATACAATTTTCTTTGGCTAAATTCTCAACTATTTCAGGAAGGACCAATTTGAAGAAGGCACTCTTTGAAAATTCTTGAACAATTCCTTGAACAGTTGGTAGCATTCCTCTCTGAGTACTGGAGCATAACTTATCAATAATAAGTAAGACATTGTGGGCAAAATTTTTCTTGGTTGCATTGCTATAATCTTCCCAAGGATGTTGAAGGATGTATTCCCAAAAAGCATGACACCTGTTAAGAATGTAAGTGCATTATTATATTAAAGCAACACAACAAAACTATTAGATCAGTCAAGAAGCAAAACAAGAAAAACAAAGAAAAGAAACAAAAATTTTCCTATATTTGTGCAGTTGGGAATTTTTGAGAATTCCTTCAAATTCCCAGAAAACTGGGAATTCAGTTCAAGGGTAATACAAGCCACTTGTTATATTACCTAGGACCTTCTGATCAGTTTTAAAGGTTTCAATATTCATAGAAATATATTGGAGTTGTGAAGACAAAGAATTTTGCCCTTACAATTTGAGTGGTAATAAAAAAAATCAGATCACAGCTAGAGAGCCTTGAACTGTGAAAACTCTGTTTCAAAAATGTGATAGAATAGGTGGTAAATAACTGGGAATATAACCAGTTTCAGCTCCAGGCAGGTTAATTCCCTTTCCAGGTGGGAAATGGTGAATTTTAATAGTAAATTAAGTCAATTTCCCTGAAATCAGTAGAACACCCAACTGTAAGAAAAACAAACAAACAAATAACAAGAAAAATTTACTAAAACTTCAAGTTAGGGCAAACAAGTGTGAGGCTATAAGGGTCAGTAAATTTTCAGTAAATAACATCATTTTAGTAATTAATAAAACCCTGGATATAGTGCTGAGACACATTCTCATTGGTTACTCAAACTCTGAATATTCTTTAATAGCCTTTCACTTCTGAGCATCAGTGCAAGTGGGACTAATGCATCCATAAACATATAGTTTAAATCATCTTTTTCTGCCATACTATCTTACTGTTTTAGTATATAATAAAACAACGGATCACCTTCACATGTCATCAGAGTCAGTGGCCAGTGGTGGATATTTACCTGGCTGCTTAAAGCTCAGTTTAATAGTTGTTACATATTGTGCATAAAAGTTACTTGCAATAAAATACCATGTCATCTGAACATCACTTTCCCCATTAACATATAAAAATTCACTCTTAGTGTTTCAGTACATACAGTTAAAGACTAAAGGAATGAATCGTCAACTGATATATATGTGCCCTATTTTATATAATTTCATGATTTCAACAAACATTCAGTTAGTTAAATGGAAGATTAAGCAATTCAATTTGAACAAACTAAGATTATTATAATTGTGTGGTCTAAAGTATTTTATTTACAAAAAAAGGATTTTTTATGTTCTATATGTTTAATAGCCCATTTTATAGTTGTGTACTTAGTTGCCAAGCCTTTGATTTGGAGTGAGGCTGAAGGTGATCTTGTTGTGATAGAGACCAGCATCTAGTTAGCATGATAACAAATTAATTTGCATTTGAAAAGCAGTAACAGGTTTGTATCATAACAAGGTGGCCCTTAGCCTCATTCCTGTTCAAAGGCTTGGCAACCAAGCACTGTAAAATGGACTATTACCTGGTAGTAAAACTGGATTTGAGTAAGTAACTCAAATTTGGCCAATAAGCTGGGAACTAGAAAGACAATTGAACCAATTTATGTCTTAAAATAAGAGGCACTCTGCTGCTTGCAGGATACTGCAGTTGTTGTAACTTGTTATAGGATGTGATTAAAAAAAAAGAGAGCAAGCACATGGATAATTGGTGTTTTGTGGTTGTCAACTTGTAACTGATAGTTTTTTGCCGTGCAAAAGTCTCTGTATTGAGTAAATACACAATTCATTTACCAGTAACTGCCCTCTCCGCAATCAGGTTATTTATTGACATTATTTACCTTAGCAGCTCAGCTGTAGCAGCAGATGACCCATCACTTTTTACCCTATGCACATGGTTGAGAAATGCTTCAATCTCTTTCTCAGATAATTTGTAACAGCTGAAAAGTGAAAGCATAAAAATCAACCCTTTAGGTACCATTTATTCAGCTGACCATCTAAAGTCAATTAAATATACTTAAGGTGAAACAGTTCTTCATTTAACCAATGCCTGTCTTTTGAACAATCTGGTCATGTTGTGAGAAGTTGGGTGATGATAACTTATGGAAGTTAAGGGTGTATAATGTATCATGGTACTAACCCATGTCACTGCCCAACTTAAACCCCAAGGGTCAGAATAGCATCTAATTTCTCCTCACAGTATCACCCCTGAATCAAACATTGAGGTCATGAGAATAAAGTAAATGATCACCAACTAACAAAGCTATTGATTGTTACCAAATTCTCCTTGTCAGCACCTTACGAAATATATAGAGAACAGTTTAGAGAATATGCAAACTTATTTTAAGGGAGAAAGGGTTTGAATTGTCCATCAAAGGAAGTCTTTTATTTGCAATAGATAAGAGGCTTCTATTGATGGATAATTCTTTTTCATTTCTATCATTAATATGTTAAGCGATGTCGTTCCTGATCATGTTATCTGCTCAAATACAGTTTTTTTAAAACGTATGTACTCAACCTACCAAATAATTTCTGGCTCCAGAGCTATTTCAGTTTCTTTGGGACCTTTTGCAATCTCAAGAATGTCACCCACTTTAAGAAATGCTCTGCTGACATCATCTGCGCCAAACGTTTCAAGGTCGAGAAGAAGCTCGACTTTTTCATACTCCTTTCCATTAAACATGCAGGTTTTATTCACCAAAATCCATGCTTCCCGGTTTGTCTTTCGGATAACAACACCCTCTACCTTGAAATCATCCTTCCCAAAAACATTAACAAGAGAAGGTCCGCTTTCACTTTCCTTGCGTTTATCTGCAGCCTCTTCTGCGTATGTATAACCTTCAAGCTCGCGAAAAAACTGTGGTATCGTTGTATGGGTTAATTTGAAGTTTTCCGACTTCTTTTTGGCAATGAACACCTTCAGTAACGCCTTTCGATATCTGTACGTGTCATGGTAAGTTTCAAGTTTGTAACAAGAGCTATCTTTGATAGTATTTTTCCCTCTTGTAGCTACTTTCACCCCAGTTAAGAATTCCTCGTAACGCTTCCGGTAATCTTTCTGGAGCAATCCATCTTCGCAAAATCTATCGATATCTTCATTCGCCATATTTTCCATGAAGGTATGCTACCTTTATGGAAAACTTCCTACTGAGGTTGTCCACAAGTTGTTACCTAAGGGAGGGGGGTGTTGGAGAGCGCTCAAGTCTTCACTAAGTATCACGCGGAAGTGTTGATCTGGGTGAGTATAACTTGTATCCGCATTTAGTTAATCTTCTTGTCTCGGCTCAGGAAAGTGGGTTCTGGGACCCAAAACAGAGAAGAAGAGAAGAAAGAAGATGTTGTGCACTTGAAAACTTAGTCTTCCCCTGTTAGGAAATATCTCTTCAATATGTAATTGTGTTTTTCCCGGAAAGACTGAGCGTCAAGTCAGAGGTCAATTTCGATGAATCGCTATCCTTTAGCTTCTCAGTCGTTTGTTTCAGAACAAGAAATACATCCTTTCCCTCGTAACTTTACCGCAATTCGCTGAACCAAAGCGTCAAGGAACACGTTCCTCTTAGGATCATTAAGCACCTGCCAGTACGACCACGTAAAGATCCCCTGAAGCTTGCTTCGCGTTCGTTCTAAATTTGAGGTAATGTTCTTGCTATTATTAGAGAGCGTGTTTACGGTGAAGAAATGTAAAATGGTTTCCGTGTTTACATAGCCTGATGTAAACACGCGGGAGGTTGGGAGAACACTCGATAAGCTGGAAACCACCATAAAATAGCTAATAAAAGAGGAACGAAAACCGCGTTTACATACGCTCATGTAAAATGGTTTTATGGCCAATCAGAGCGCGCGCACTATCTGAATAATGTTTTATAAAGTGAGATATCCAGCGTACGTTCGTGTAATGCAAAAGGTTTGTAAGTCTTTCCTTAGGTGTGTATGTTTAAATAAGACATAATCGTCATGAAACAGCTTAATTATGAACAAGAAACAAGTCGATGGAAATCTTAGGACCGTAGACTCGTCGAACCAAAGGTCCCTTAGAGACAATCTCTTTTGAGTGACCAAGTTTACAAAAGCAGAAATTTTTCTCAATGTCATCAGCTCTCACAAGCTCTCATGAAGGAATACGTCCACTTTCTTCGCCAATTATTTGAAGTATTTCCATTTACGACCTCACTTAGGTCACCAATTTACGCGTGAATGAGATTTTGCAATGAGCCAAACTTAAATACGTATACGGTATCAAAGTTGTTCTTACATGGGGCTCTCCAAAACACGGTCAAATGTCTGGGGGCACACTCGCCCGGAAGTTGGGAATTTTACAGACTTCTTACTGAAAGAATTTTTGGGATCGCTCGACATTTCTAAACAAAAACCGAAAAACGTGATACCAAAGGGAAGTTTGAAAGAATATTTCAAGAGAAATTTTCTGAAAATTGCCTAGCTTCCAGGTATTTTATAGTCTGTTTGAGATCGTGAGCAGCAGCTGGGCATTTGACCACAGTGTAAAACGTTTTATTTCCTGTCGCCTTTCCGTTCAGGAAAGTGAGTCGCAAAAAATATGGGAAGCAGAGGGAGCCTGGGTATGAGCATCCGCTTGCAAATCGCTTTCGTAAAACAATTCATAGTGGTAATTGACCTAAATGAGGTGCACCTTAGTCGGCACGATTTGAAATCAGAAGTATGATTTCAGACCAAAATTGTGCAACAGAAATTTCAATTAGCACTATATTACATTAATTTTGAAATGGCCAAATTCAGTTGCTTGGATACAGGATTTTTTTAGTCAGAGCTAGCTGTAGAAATATGTTATGGATTCAGTAGTGAACTGGTTTATGGAAAGTTGCAAACGTTGTTTTCATTATCCTGCAATTTGATTGATTTCTTTAAACAAGTTCTGTGACAAGTTCTTGTATCTGACAATTTTAAATGTGAATTCTTGGAAGTTCAGAGTGGAACTTCCATTTAGGTGACACTACAGGACTAGAAAAAATGTCCTCTGAATAGACGTTTCAACTAGGAGGGGAACAGATGCAATTGGTTTTCGCTGAGGAAATCATTACAAAATAGGTTAAATGTATGAAGCTCTTACTCTGATGGTATCTAGTTGATTACTCTAAGGGTTTGCTTAGTACATATTTTACATCCTTAATTAATGTACAACACAATTATTGATCAATTTGATGGAAAGCTTGTCAATCAACAGAGACAAATGAATGACTAAGTTGTTAGACCTTTCGATTCATCCAAATATTTGATAACTTTGAAGCCAAATTTCTCTCCCTGCCAGAATTCTAAGAAGCATCAAAAAAATATTTGGGCACTGCTGTATTTTTGTTAACTGAATGCCTTTTAAAATCTGTAACCATGACAAGCTTCTCTCAACTACACCTGTCACGCAATTTTGGCTCAAAATTTTAAATATGTCTTTGTGCGGCAAAAACATTCATTAGTCTATGCTTTGATTGTTTAAAAATATGTTATTTCCAGTGGTGAGCTGGTTTATGGGAAGTTGCAAACGTTGTTTTCATTTACCTGTGATTTGATTGGTTTCTTTATGCAAGCTCAATGGGAAGTTCATGTATCGGACAATTTTAAATCAGAACTCTCGAAATTTCAGGGTAGAACTTCCAATGGGACATTTTACAGTTGTATACTTAGTTGTCAAGGGCACATAAGGAAGCAAATTGCGATCGCGTTGTTGATGATTTGCATTCATGACTTCGCGTTTATGATTTCACATTCATTTTACTGAGTTTGGAGAGAAAAATTAACCTGAATACTACTCCAAGGCTAGTTATGAGTGGAAGAAAGAGATAGAATGCAAATGAAAGAAAAATTTATAATCTTTGGCAGAGATGTCGAGTGTGTTGTTGAAAGGTGAAGAATCAAAAGGACAAGAGAAGAAAGATGAACATAAAAAACGAAAAGCAGAAGGCCAACCAAGCTGGCATGAAAAAGCTGTCACTGCAAATTTCAAGGAGGAAGAAATAGACATCCCAAAGAGAAAGGTGGGACTTATAATAGGAAAAAAAGGTTGGAGAATAATGGATATAATCACCCG